CCATCTTGCGCCTGAGATCTTCCATGGCCATCCTCCGTCGAAGGTGTGGAGGGAGGATGGCCATGGAAGCAGACATAACTAATCTGTCCTAATACAAAAGAACCCCATTTTGTAGTGCAAACCCAGGTCTTGTGGTTTCCCTCTTTTGTAAATCCGAAATGATTGCCTGTAAAGTTGGATCCTGCTGTACCTCGTCATGGACAGCCTTGAAATCTAACCATTCAAGACGGAAAATCATAGAATGATGAAGTGTTAACCTGTCATCTGAATTAGCAAGGACTACCATGGTGTTGTTTGGGGAAGTATCAAACTGACGGGACAACGCATTAGCACCATTGTTCTCAAGACCAGGTTTATAAACTACATCAAATTGATATCCCAAAAGCTTAGCCACCCAATTTTGTTGATCCATTATGGTTAGACGTTTCTTCATTAATTGTTTCAAACTCTTTTGATCTGTGCACACCGTGAACTTGTTCCCTATGAGATATGGGCGACAATGTTGGATAGCGAGCACCACGACCATTAACTCTTTTTCATATGCTGATTTGTTCAAATTGCAATCACTGATGATAGAAGATCATAATGCAGAGAGAGAGAATATTTTGTGAAACTCTCATTGTATTTCTTGATTCAAATGATACAATGAATTCTCTATATATAAAGTAGGAGCCGTAACTAACTGTAACAAACTAATACAGAATAATTAACATGTACAGCTCATCAATTATAACAATTGAAACTAATCTCTATTTACACTATATCTATCATTCCCCCTTAGAAGCTGAGAGGGTGCTTGACAAGTCACTCTTGTTGAACACTCTATCTTGTCACACAAAGGCACAAACTTAGCTGCAGACTGAGGTTTGGTCAAGGCATCAGCCCATTGATCCTAAGCTTGAACATGTGCTACAATAAGACTCTTGCTGAGGACTTTCTCACGCACAAGGAAAATATATAGCTCCATATGTTTGGTCCTGTTGTGAAGAACATGATTATGAGTAAGAGTAATTATACTCAAATTATCACACAAAATCTTAGGCACCTCGAAAGGACAGTGTAGTTCCTTGAGTAAATACTGAATCCAGATTAGTTCAGCAGCCAACTGAGCCATGCTACGATACTTTGCTTCTGCACTGGGTCGAGCTACAAGCTGCTGCTTTTTAGACCACCAAGAAACCACATTAGGGCCTAGAAAAAACACACGCTCCTGAAGTGGACCTTTTGTCATCAGGGTCTGATGCCCAGTCAGCATCACAAAACCCTAGCAACTGTAATGGCTGCTGAGTAGAGGTGGGTTGAATAAGGAGGCCATGCTGAGGAGTGCCACTTAAATATCTTAAAATTCTTTTAAATGCCTTCCAATGTTCCTCCAAGGGATTGGACAAAAACTAGCAAACTTTGTTAATTGAAAATGAGATTTCAAGCCTAGTTAATGTTACATACTACAAAGCACCAACAACTGATCTGAATTGTGTAGGATCACCTACAATAGTAGAACTTATTTTGGAAAGCTTACTGCTTGAAATCATAGGAGTAGGCATGCTATTTGCATTCGACATGTTCACCTTGGCCAGTAAGTCAGTGATATACTTTGTTTGAGAAAGAAGTAAGGACCCATTAGACAGATGGGTGACCTCAATGCCTAGGAAATAATCCAGCTTGCCCAACTGCTTTAGAGAGAATTTGTCATTGAGATGCTTAATCAAAGACTCTAAAAATGAGGTATAATTGCGTATGATGATTATATCATCAACATAGACAAGGATCATGATCTGTAGACTGCCATGATTAAGCAAAAATAGGCTTGGATCACACCTGCTAGCTTGAAACCCATGATGAATAAGAGCACTCTTAAGTTTGTCAAACCAGACCCTGGGAGACTGTTTTAACCCATAGATGGCTTTGTTCAACCTATACACAAGAGACTTATTAGATGCTTCAAACCCAAGAGGTTGTTGCATAAACACTTCCTCCTCAAGAGTGCCATTTAGAAAGGCATTATTGACATTAATTTGCTGAATAGTCCAGTTGTTGATGACTGCAAGAGTTAACACAATCCCGACTGTTACAGGCTTAACCACAGGTGAGAATGTTTCAGTGAAGTCACTTCCAGCCTTTTGATGAAACCCTTAGGCCACCAGCCTGGCCTTGTATTTGTTTATGGAACCATCAAGATTCTGTTATAACCTGAAGACACATTTGCAGCCAATGGGCTTCCTAGAACCAGATGACTTTACCAATGTCTAGGTCTGATTTCTCAGCAGAGCCTGATACTCTTCTTGCATTGCCTGAAACCAGTTAGGAGAAGTCAAAGCTTGGTCTACTGATGTTGTTTCCATATGTGTAAGTAACAGGGTCGGATGAAGTCTGGGTAGTGTAATGCCTCTTTTAGATCTAGTTTTCATAGGATGAACATTTAAAGGATTAATAAAGGGTTAAGATGAAGTGGAATTGACAGGGCTAGGTGCAGAAGAGAGAGTTTGGGATGAAGAGGGAGAGAAAGTGCTGGCTTCTGCAAGATCAAATAGGATAAGAGCAAGAGTGGAAGTAGAAGATGAATTGAGTGTGTTAGGAGTAACATTAAGGCCAGAAGAAGCAAAAGTTGGTAAGAGACTGAGAGTGGGGACAGAAGCAGAAGTAGATCGGATAAATGGTTGAGGATTGGCTGAAAAAGAGGAGGAGAGACGGTTATCCTGACTTGGAACAGAAGTAGTGAAAACTGGTGGCATAGACCAAGCTGACACAGGGGAAGAAGATGAGGCTGGAGTGGATTGAGAATTAATAGAAAAACATAGAGGAGTAAGGAAATTTGGATTCATGGAACAAAACATCCTTGGAGATGTAGGTATGTCCATTAGATGCAAGGAACTTATACCCCTTGTGAGCTGTGGAGTAACCAAGGAATATACATTCTTGTATAATCCATCTTATGAGAATTATAAGGTCTAAGAAATGGATAGCAGGAGCAGCCAAACACCCTAAGGTTAGTGTTAGAAGTTATTAGAGAGATAAGTACAAAATCAACCGATTATATGTTATACAACTCAGCATAATATTCATTGTAAATAATAATTAGTCATTAGATATTAATAATTAGTAATTAGTTATCTTCTGCTATATTTAGAATTAGCATTTATAATTAGCATTTAAAGTGATTTGTCCATTGTATTCTATAAATACCTTTCATGTATTACTTACTACAATATCAAAGAAATACATATTATTTGTTTCTTTAGTTAGAGTAGTTAGGAGGTTTGCCAAGAAGCTTAGAATAAGGTGGGTGATTTTCAAGTGTGGGGCTAGGAAGTCTATTGATAAGGTAAGCAGTTGTAAGAAAAGAATGATCCCAGAATTTGAGAGGGAGGGTGGATTGGGCAAGTAAGGTTAAGTCAGTTTCAACAATACGGTGGTGTTTGCGTTCCACAATGCCTTTTTGGTGGTGGGTGTCTGGACATGTGAACCTATGAATAATACCCAGGCCAGTTAGTTACCTTGTGAAAGGCCCGAATTCACCACCCCCATCAATTTGGACACACTTAATAGGATAGTTGAATTGGAGTTCTACCATTTTCTTAAAGTGAGTGAATTGGATTAGGGTATCAGATTTGAGTCTAAGAGGGAACACCCAAACAAATCTAGAGAAAGCATCTACACATGTTAAGAAATAGATATAACCACCTAAGGATGTCATAGGAGCTGGTCCTCATAGACAGTGGCGGAGCTAGAAAAATTATTAAGCCTGGGCAAACATTTAAAGACCGTAAATTTATATTATATTGTATAGAAATTTATATATTATCTTTTGAGTTAGAGATCCAAGAAATAAAAACCATTGGAATGAGCAGTCATTTCTATATCTTTGATATATTTGGTAAACTTGACAAGAGATCACACTTAATTGATACTGTAGATAACCAGCGGGAATTTAGACATAAATAACCAGCGGGAATTTAGACATAAATATCAATCATGGTCAATTGTTTAATTAATTTGAATGTTAAAGAAGGTAACCATTTCAGACATCTCCAATAATTATAAGACTATTTACAACACAAACAATAACAACGACAACCAGAAAACAAACAATAACTCACCATGTAATGACTGAACTTGAACCATATCTTAGCAACATCAGAAATGATTCACGATATGATTGCTTCATCTTTTTTTATCATCATTAGTGTTCTTCAGAATGCTGGAAACATCAAACAACTGATGAGCATTGGCGAAGAATTTTGGTTTATCAGCAGGAAAACAAGGAGCTAAAAGGAAATATGTAGAACACTTTTGTCTTGTATGTTTGCATATATTTTTGTCAAATAGTGGCATTATAACATTGTCGCATAACAAATTTTGAACGAACCTATTCCGTGATCTGTGGTGGACAACATGAGTAAAGTAAATCTAAGAAAATAGGATGCTTGGTTAAAAATCTGGTTTAGGAAAAATCAATTTTATACAAAGTTTTAAATTTGTTTTTCTGCATATTATACACAAAGTTTTCTTAACAGATGAGAGAAGGTACTCTGCATGCTCTGCTTGAGGCTGTGGGGAAGTGGTGCTTACTTGCATCATTGTTTACAATAAAATTGAATAAATGACCATTCAAAATAAACAAACTATGACATTGACTCATTACAAAACTTCATTCGTACTAATTTCATAATATTTCACATTAAAAAAGTACTTTCATAGTAAACTCACCTCACTAGACATTTTCCCACCAATTTCATACTCTCAACTCCATCACATTTTCATACTAATTTTGTGCATCTAACCTGTTTATAGTTTCACACAAACAAAGTTACAAGATCAAATCACATTTAAAAGATGAAAACTTGTATAAACATCTTGGCGTTAAATTACATGACAGAAGAATATAATTCATTCAGTTTCAGCATGAACATAAAAAAATAACAGCACAATAACACTCATCCTGTTTTGACATCATTAGTTGGAAGCTCATTCAAGTCGAAGTGAAGAACTCAAACCGATATTTAAGCTGAAATCACGGTTAAAATAAAATTGATTTAGATAAGACCTTATTAAATAAAAGAACATCAGATTTAAAACGAACATGATCACCTTTATCGAATCGAATATCTTCAGAAACATTTGTAATGATAACTCCATATGGAACCATAAGATCTCTCTTGTTCATACTCATCAACTTAAGCCATGGAAAAGCTGAGATTACTCTCTGATGCAGTAGAAGAAATTTCCTATCAGTTAAAACCAGAAACATCATATGTATTCAAAACTTATGGAGCTACAACAGTTTGGAGGCCTACTAAGTGTGTGTGTTTGGAAACAAAGTGAACCACCACCACCTCACATTTAACACTCTTTCCAGTGTGGTTTTTCTGAAGCTACAATAGTAAACTTCTTGAGAATGCCAAACATAAGCTAAGTAATTTCTGTGCTGCTAATAAAGATGTTTCTTACACCCATTGGATCATACTAGGCAATAGCAAAATAACAAGCACAGTCTTTCCCTCTTTACCAAGAAACAGTGCTGAACACAAGCCTCTGAACATAAATTGACAGACTACCAGACTCTACATACATGTTTAAGCGAAACACTTATAATTCAGCCCTTGAAAAGCCCATGTTCATTGCAAATGTCCAGCCAATTCCACAATGCACTTTCAATTTCTATCATTATGATTATCTATTCATTCAATATGTTGGACATCAAAACCCATCTTTCATCTAATGTAAAAGTAAACCAACTATTATTAAAGTTAACTTCAATAGTGTCTGATTTTTATATATTTTAGGTTTTCATCACCAGTACCTCGACTAATTGGGTTTGGGGCGAGTTCTAAAGTGCCAGACCTTTGCACTATTCAAAGTTGAAGCATCAAAATGACAAACCTTCAATGCAACATTAAAACAAACACATTCAAAGCAATTTAATTGACATAACAAACCAAATTTCGAGTATGAAATTCTGAAGATAAACATTAACACACACAAAAATTAACTTTACTAAAAATAACTGAATGCAAAAAGTTCTATAGAAGAAATACTGACGCGGTGGTTTCTTGACCGCCACCTTGAGTACCGGTACTAACAAAGAACCCAGCCGGTTTCCTGGAAAGCTTATGCCCCTGCCACAAACTCCCCGTGGAATCAAAGAAAGCCTTCATTTGCGCCGCCATAGATGTTAACTGAGCAAAACGAGATATGTTTATTAAATTGAAACAACCGTTAAATACATAAAAAGTAATAACTGCAAGCTATAGAAACTGCTATTCCTAACAAATAGGCATGACTCAATCAAAGCCATGACTTTCACAACTCAAGCTTAAAACTAGGAGCCCACTAACAATATTTATTATTCTACTAATTATTAATTCAATGCAAATAATGACATATTAATCCAACAAATCCTCCCCTAAACTCAACAGGATCAATGTTGAGTTTATCAGTAGTCACAACATCACATTTCAGCCATTAGCAGCACTTGAGCTCTCCTTCACCATATCAATCCACTTCCCAATTCCTAGCCTGGTTCTTAGTGACTCAAAAGTCTCGAGTTTTACAGCCTTAGTCATAACATCAGCAATTTGAGCGTCTGTACTACAATACTCTAGCTTGATCACTCCTTCCTTGACTAAATATCGAAGAAAATGAAACCGCGCGTCTATATGCTTACTCCTTCCATGTAACACTGAGTTCTTGGACAATTTGATAGTTGAAACATTATCACACAGTATTGTTGTTTCACCATCAACACTCTTCAGCCAGCCCATCTGTTCAAGCACATGTCTCAGCCAAACACATTGGGTTGCACAAGAAGCTGCCGCCACGAACTCAGCCTCGGTTGTTGATAAGGTGACTATAGGTTGTTTCTTTGACGACCATGAAACTGCAACACCGGCTAAAAAGAAGACATAACCACTAGTGCTTCTCCTATCATCCACATCCCCCGCATAATCACTATCGGTGAATCCAATTAAAGACTTACACTGAACATCCCTTTTATACCAGATGCCAAACTCCATGGTTCCGTTTAGATACCGTAACACCCTTTTTGCTTCCTGCATATGAGCCCTTGTTGGCTTAGCCATATATCTACTTAGCAAACTAGCCACATACATGACATCTGGTCTAGTTGCTGTTAAGTACAGAAGACTACCAACCAATTGCTTATACTCAGTATCATTAACAAGACAACCATCACCTTCTAGAGTCAGTTTGCTTCCTGGAACAATAGGATTACGCACAGGATTGCTCTCCAAGAGTCCAAACTTCACCAACAGATCTCTTGTATACTTCTTTTGGCAAAGAAAAATTCCTTGCTCAGCTCTACCGACCTCGACTCCTAGGAAATACTTCATTCGGCCTAAGTCAGACATTTTAAACATAGCTTTCATGCTTTTCTTGAATGGTATCACCATTTGATTACTGCTGCTAGCATACATAAGATCGTCCACATATAAACTAACAAGCAGACAATTACCTTCTTTCCTTTGGATGAACAAAGTGTGTTCATATGGACACTTTTCAAAACCAGCCTCCTTAAAATAATGTTCAATCTTGCTATACCATGCTCTTGGTGCTTGCTTTAATCCATATAAGGCCTTTTTCAATTTGTAAACTTTGTTCTCCTCCCCTGAGATCACAAAGCCTGGTGGTTGCGTTACAAAAACTTCTTCTGTGAGATCACCATGGAGGAATGCACTTTTCACGTCTAATTGATAGACAGGCCACCCATGATGTGCTGCAAGAGCTAGCATGGTCCTTATAGTATCCCACCTTGCAACCGGAGCAAACACTTCATCATAGTCTATTCCATGTTGTTGAGCATACCCCTTTGCCACTAGTCTTGCTTTGTATTTATCCACTTCACCATTCTCATTTAACTTGGTCTTATATACCCATTTAACACCAATTGGTGTTGCTCGTGAGGGTAAGCTAGTCAACTCCCAAGTGTCATTTTTCTGAATGGCTTGCATCTCCATATTCATGGCTGTTCTCCATTTTTCTGCCTTCACAGCATCCTCAAAAGCAATAGGATCATCACTATCCACTTGCAATGCATACTGATTTGTATCAAGCATGATGTTTCCCATTTCATATGCATCATGCCAACCCGGTTTTATGCGTACTCTTGGACCCAATTCTGAACTTTGAGCATTTGAGTCATTTATGATTTCAGCTTCTGAACTCTGTGCACTTCCTGACTTGTTTGAGCTTAAATCAGTCGGCTCATCGCCCACTTTGGCTTTTGGTGGCACAATCTAAGCAGCCATAGGTGTTGTAACAGTAATAGGATCCTCAGATTCTTCTTCTAAATCATCTATATCCTCTTCATAACCTTCCCACGTGAGCTGAGTTTCAGTACCTGCTTTCTCAGAGTCCCATTCCCAGCCTTTGAATTCATCAAATGTAACATCTCTACTCACCAGAACCTTTTGAGTCATTGGATTGTAGACTCTATAGGCTTTGGATTCATGGGATACTCCCAAGAATACACACTTGATACTTTTATCATCTAGTTTCTTTCTTTGTTGATCAGGTACATGGACATAGCTCATACAGCCAAATACTCTCAAATGATCTACTGCAGGCGGAAATCCACTCCAAAGCTCTTGTGGAGTTTTATCTTTACAAATAGTTATGGGGCTTCTGTTTAGCACATAAGCTGCCCAATTAACTGCTTCACACCAGAATGTGCTTGGAACTTTTGTGTCAGCTAGCATACATCTCACCATATTTAGTAATGTTCTGTTTTTTCGCTCAGCAACTCCGTTTTGCTGGGGTGTTAGAGTTGCAGTTAACTGCCTCCTTATCCCATGCTCTTCACAAAACAGTTTGAACTCAATGGATAGGAACTCTCCTCCCCTATCTGTTCTTAAGCTCACAATCACATCACTGGACTCCTTTTCAACCTGAGCTTTGAATTTTTTAAATACACCAAATGCCTCTGATTTGGATTTCAAGAAGTAAACCCATAATTTCATGCTAAAATCATCTATCAGAGTGAAGATATACCTGTTACCACTTTGAGAAGATGAGGTGATCGGTCCACACAAGTCAGCATGTATAAGCTGAAGTCTTGTGGTGGCGTGCCATAAGCTTTTATTTGGAAATGATTTTCGGTGATGTTTTCCCACCAAACATATAGTGCACACTCCATCTTCATCCCGAGCCTTAAACTTAGGTAGACCCTTTACCATTTCTGACTTCTGAAGCGTCTCCAACCCCTGATGATGAAGGTGACCAAATCTCCTATGCCATAGATTTAGATCGTTCTTTCCAGCTTTGGTGGTGTTCAAGCACTGTACTTCTCCTGTGTCAGATGCAACTTGAGGAGTAGCATGTAAAATAAACATCCCGTTGCTCTTCATTTGGGTTTGGAAAAGAAACCCCTTTGTATTATGAAATATCTTGTAAGAACTATCCTTGAGAAGAAAAACTAGGTCCTTTTCGAGCATTTGACCCATGCTAAGTAGGTTGTTAGTCAATCCAGGGACAAAAAAAACATCTTGTACCTTCAATGGAATATGATTAACACGCATATTGACACTCCCTTTTCCTTGGACTTGTAGTCTCATACCATTCCCTAGTTTTACAATGCAGGTGAAGGAACGGTCAAGGCTAGAGAACCACTTCATATCTCCACTCATATGATTACTACACCCCGAGTCTAGGAACCACCATGATTCATCTTTATTTGTCGAACCATGAAAAGTCATAAAGTTGTTAAACTCTACCACATCAGAATCAACAGATGCCATAAGGAGCATCTCCTCATGTGTTGTATCATGGCCATCAGTGTAATGAGCCTGATAGGTCCTTTCAGGACATTCATTCTTGAAATGTCCTAACTTGTGACAACGATAGCACTCCACCGTTTCTCTATTCCAGAATTGACCTCGACCCCTGCCCCGTCCTGGATAGCCACTTCTCCCACGTCCACGACCTCAATGCGCATCAAGTCCAACCTTCAAGGCTTGATCTTCAAGAGACACATTCCTTGTAAACTTTTGTTCATGTACAAGAAGTGAACTCTGCAATTGATCAACAGTCATGACATTAATATCATGAGACTCCTCAATCGAGCAGACAATGTAATTGAATCGCTCAGTCAGAGTCCTTAAGATTTTCTCAACGATTTTTACATCTGTTATCAGCTCCCCGCAGTTGCGCATGGCATTAGACACAACCATCACTCTCCCAAAGTAATCATTAATCGATTCCCCTTCTTTCATTTCCAGCACTTCAAAATCTCGTCTGAGAGCTTGCAACTGTGCCCTCTTTACCCGAGCACTTCCTTGGAACTTCGTCTTCATGGAATCCCATAACTCTTTAGCAGTTGCCTTTTGAGATATTGTCTTCAATATCGTCTTATCAATACTGCTAAACATATAATTCTTGGCCTTGAAGTCCTTTAGCCTCATTTCTTCATGGGTCTTCTTTGCATCAGCAGACAATGCCACACCAGAAGCAGTTTCTGTAAACCCTATGTCCACCACAGTCCAATATTCCTTTGACCGTAATAGATTCTCCATCAGAAGACTCCAATGATCATAGTCACCGTCGAACTTGGGAATGCATGCCCTCACAAAGTTTTCATCACCCATGATCACACTAAATTAATCCTCACACACTCTTGTGTTTTTGCACTCACCCAAGAGAACTCTCACTCTCACTGTGTGTTTCCCAAACCCAGATTCACTCAATGATCGAAAGTTTTGCTAAAGCTCTGGTACCAAAAATGTTAACTGAGCAAAACGAGATATATTTATTGAATTGAAACAACCGTTAAATACATAAAAAGTAATAACTGCAAGCTATAGAAACTGCTATTCCTAACAAATAGGCATGACTCAATCAAAGCCATGACTTTCACAACTCAAGCTTAAAACTAGGAGCCCACTAACAATATTTATTATTCTTCTAATTATTAATTCAATGCAAATAATGACATATTAATCCAACAATAGAGCCATACCTAGTCGGAAACCCAAACAAAACACCATCAGCAGCCGGAAGCTCCTTGGGCGAAATCACCGGAATAGTTTCATCTTTCGGCAGCGCTTTCATCTGATTCAAGACCTCAATCGACAATGTCTCAGGTACTCTGTACAGAACTCCCTCCACACCTTCAACGGAGGATGGCCATGGAAGATCTCAGGCGCAAGATGGTGAAGTCTGGTTGGGCGGAGCCTGGGCAACTGCCCTACCTGGCCGTATGCTGGCTCCGCCACTGCCCATAGATCACAAACTACAAGCTCAAAGGGCTGACTGTATACAATGGTGGATAAAGAGTTGGGCAGCCTATGGGGTTTGCTACATTTTATTTTCTGATTGTGGAAAGATGGCAGCAGAGAGCAACAAGACAACATTATTAACAAAATTTTAAGAGAGAAATAGATGACACAAAATAATTGTAAACACAATTAGAACGCAAATACAAAGGGCAGTTGAAACTTGAGAGAGCAATAAGTAGTAGAAAAATAAACCAAAAACAAAATGACTCACACAAAGCGAGTGTGTGTGTGGGTGATGAATGAAAATGAGAGTCGGTTCGCTAACTTGAAGATCCAATTAATTATTTCCAAGTTGGGTTTGGGTTGAAACCCCGGTTATCAGGACTTCTACCCGATCCAACCCACTCAAAGCTTTCAATCAATGACTTATCACTGTAGCAGTGCATGGCTGCAACTGTCTAAAAGATTTTTTTAAACTTTCGGGAATGGAATTTAGGAGACCCTGATGAATTTCAGAGTATATTCTAAGGTTGTCCTTACAGGGGCAAATATGTTTAGTTCCACTCATGTCTGGGTGATACACATTATGTTAATTGAATTCTTAGGTTGTACCTTAATACTCAGGATATGCAAAGTATATCTAAAACAACCCTGATACAATTTTGCCACTGCTTCATATTTCAATAGTTAAATGATTTTTGAATAAACTCATGTTAAAGAGTTCAATCAACCCCAATCCTAAATCATAGTAACAGCACAACAGAGTTTAGCTGCTGCTACAACCTAAAACTACTCCATCCGAATTCTATATGAAACATGTCAAAATGAGCACAAATCACACTAAACCAGATTACATTGACCTAGTTATGCAGAATAGTTTAATACTACCATAATCTTTCAGAATGGAGATACAAGTAAACAACAAAAATCAACATACAAGACCCATAAAAAAGATTCAACTTCAGAGACAAATTAATTTTACGATTTTTCTCTCTCAGTAGTGATGATAATAATAAATCTATAAGTTTCAAAGAACATCTTCTTTTCAATCTATCAGTAAAGACTACAGAAAAAAGTGTAACAACCATACCTCGACTGAGAACAATTTGCGAGGCGATGGATTCCGAGGAGACGACGACGAAGAGGATTTCGCTAATTTTGAGGACGGCGAGGGCTTAGTTAGAGTTAAAGCTTTCAAAAATCAAAATTAAAGTCGAATCAGATCAGATGGTCTAACCGGTTCAACCTTAAACCGCACTACGAAACGACAAAACTGTCAAAGTTAATGAAGCGGTATAACGTTCAAGTAAACAAAATTTTAAACTTTTCTAATGAAAAAATTACACAAAGTTAGAAATGTGAAATTGCAGTACCACTTACTTTCTATTTATAAGATTTAGAAACAAAATATTGTTTAAGCGGTGTGTTTGTTTCAATGATTGAATGACATTCCCACGAATATAATATTAGAAACAAAATAATCTCATTTTTGTAAGTTTTTAAGAATAATTTCTGAATATATTTTTTTTAAAGAATGTTGTTTACACGTAATTTTTTTTAGAGTTATTCTCATAATTAAAAAAGTGAGAATCTAAAATTTCTATGAGAATAAACTTAACTATCTATTACTTTTCGTCTCACAAATCTCATGACATAACTCAATCTCTTATTGTTCAAGATGTCTCGTCTCATTCATGAAAACTTTCATGATTAGATCAAAACCAAGAACGCGTGGCCAAATGTACGAGCATCATAACCAATCTGCACAACAACTTTTGGATCAAATAACCGTATCTATACCTCAGTCAGTTTGATTTCTAATTATCTTGTGTGCATTTGTTTGATTTCTAATTATCTTGTTTCATTGGGATAATGGGGTGGTGAGATTAACATTCCTGCATTATTGTGTTTAATCTGCAACACTCAATGAATGTCACCATACTAGGAAATGGCATTTGATTTGTTTTTTTGTTATCATGGTTATTGTACCAGATCTAAGATTGTTTGGTTCTAAGTTGGGAGAGGGTTTTTACACCCAAAAATTTACGCAGTGTTTTTTCTTGTTTGTTACTATCATGGATTTTAATTGAGGATTGAATATGAATTCAGCAATTGTGCATTGAATTACCTAAAGTCTTGCTAATTATTGACACATTCTACAGATTGAGGAGAACCTATGAGGTCATCATCATTTGTGAGGAGGCAGTTCACAAAAAACGAAGTGGGTAGTTGGTCAATACTTATCATGAGGCACCGCTTTCTGTTATCTGTTTTAGCTCTACTAACTATCCTATGTACAGTTTATCTTTACTTTGCTATTGCTTTTGGGTTCAAAGATTCATGTTCTGGGCTGAGTGGTCCTGAGAAAGATTCTTGTCATATGAAGCTTGTTAAGAGTGAGATGAGAAGTACTCCCACCAGACATTTCTAATTTACAAATATGGGCAAGTTTATGTTGGTGAGTCTATGTGAGGATTATTACATGTAGTTAGTTATGTACTATACAGATACTACTGTTAAATCATCTTGGTATCTATTTGTGAACCAAGATATGCATAAGGTGTGCAGAAACCATTTCCTTCATTGCTAATTTTGGTGATTATTTTCCTTTGTAGCTGTAAAAAGAATCTTTAGCATTCTAGCAGTTCAAATCAAGTATTCGATTTTATATATTACGTAAAATATCTATCTAATGTAAGAACAGCAATGACTTACATTATATTTTAAATTATTAGTTATGGCACTATTGCGAAACGTATCATGTAATATATAGTGTACTAGCATAATTGGGGTTACTCTGCTTGTGAGCATGTGATGAGATGCACAAGAGATGTTAATGTATTTTGATATGTAAAAAGTGAATGAAAAGTTGTTTGATCCAAAAGTTGTTGTGCAGATTGGTTATGATGCTCGTACATTTGGCCACGCGTTCTTGGTTTTGATCTAATCATGAAAGTTTTCATGAATGAGACTAGACATCTTGAACAATAAGAGATTGAGTTATGTCATGAGATTTGTGAGACGAAAAGTAATAGATAGTTAAGTTTATTCTCATAGAAATTTTAGATTCTCACTTTTTTAATTATGAGAATAACTCTAAAAAAAATTACGTGTAAACAACATTCTTTAAAAAAAATATATTCAGAAATTATTCTTAAAAACTTACAAAAATGAGATTATTTTGTTTCTAATATTATATTCGTGGGAATGTCATTCAATCGTTGAAACAAACACACCACTTAAACAATATTTTGTTTCTAAATCTTATAAATAGAAAGTAAGTGGTACTGCAATTTCACATTTCTAACTTTGTGTAATTTTTTCATTAGAAAAGTTTAAAATTTTGTTTACTTCAACGCTATACCGCTTCATTAACTTTGACAGTTTTTGCCGTTTCGTAGTGCGGTTTAAGGTTGAACCGGTTAGACCATCTGATCTGGTTCGACTTTAATTTCTTTAACTCTAACTGAGCCCTCGCCGTCCTCAAAATTAGCGAAATCCTCTTCGTCGTCGTCTCCTCGGAATCCATCGCCTCGCAAATTGTTCTCAGTCGAGGTATGGTTGTTACACTTTTTTCTGTAGTCTTTACTGATAGATTGAAAAGAAGATGTTCTTTGAAACTTATAGATTTATTATTATCATCACTACTGAGAGAGAGAAATCGTAAAATTAATTTGTCTCTGAAGTTGAATCTTTTTTATGGGTCTTGTATGTTGATTTTTGTTGTTTACTTGTATCTACATTCTGAAAGATTATGGTAGTACTAAACTATTCTGCATAACTAGGTCAATGTAATCTGGTTTAGTGTGATTTGTGCTCATTTTGACATGTTTCATATAGAATTCGGATGGAGTAGTTTTAGGTTGTAGCAGCAGCTAAACTCTGTTGTGCTATTACTATGATTTAGGATTGGGGTTGATTGAACTCTTTAACATGAGTTTATTCAAAAATCATTTAACTATTGAAATATGAAGCAGTGGCAAAATTGTATCAGGGTTGTTTTAGATATACTTTGCATATCCTGAGTATTAAGGTACAACCTAAGAATTCAATTAACATAATGTGTATCACCCAGACATGAGTGGAACTAAACATATTTGCCCAGTGACTGTAAGGACAACCTTAGAATATACTCTGAAATTCATCAGGGTCTCCTAAATTCCATTCCCGAAAGTTAAAAAAAATCTTTTAGACAGTTGCAGCCATGCACTGCTACAGTGATAAGTCATTGATTGAAAGCTTTGAGTGGGTTGGATCGGGTAGAAATCCTGATAACCGGGGTTTCAACCCAAACCCAACTTGGAAATAATTAATTGGATCTTCAAGTTAGCGAACCGACTCTCATTTTCATTCATCACCCACACACACACTCGCTTTGTGTGAGTCATTTTGTTTTTGGTTTATTTTTCTACTACTTATTGCTCTCTCAAGTTTCAACTGCCCTTTGTATTTGCGTTCTAATTGTGTTTACAATTATTTTGTGTCATCTATTTCTCTCTTAAAATTTTGTTAATAATGTTGTCTTGTTGCTCTCTGCTTCCATCTTTCCACAATCAGAAAATAAAATGTAGCAAACCCCATAGGCTGCCCAACTCTTTATCCATCATTGTATACAGTCAGCCCTTTGAGCTTGTAGTTTGTGATCTATGGGGACCAGCTCCTATGACATCCTTAGGTGGTTATATCTATTTCTTAACATGTGTAGATGCTTTCTCTAGATTTGTTTGGGTGTTCCCTCTTAGACTCAAATCTGATACCCTAATCCAATTCACTAACTTTAAGAAAATGGTAGAACTCCAATTCAACTATCCTATTAAGTGTGTCCAAACTGATGGGGGTGGTGAATTCGGGCCTTTCACAAGGTAACTAACTGGCCTGGGTATTATTCATAGGTTCACATGTCCAGACACCCACCACCAAAAAGGCATTGTGGAACGCAAACACCACCATATTGTTGAAACTGACTTAACCTTACTTGCCCAATCCACCCTCCCTCTCAAATTCTGGGATCATTCTTTTCTTACAACTGCTTACCTTATCAATAGACTTCCTAGCCCCACACTTGAAAATCACCCACCTTATTCTAAGCTGCTTGGCAAACCTCCTAACTACTCTAACTAAAGAAACAAATAATCTGTATTTCTTTGATATTGTAGTAAGTAATACATGAAAGGTATTTATAGAATACAATGGACAAATCACTTTAAATGCTAATTATAAATGCCAATTCTAAATATAGCAGAAGATAACTAATTACTAATTATTAATATCTAATTACTAATTATTATTTACAATGAATATTATGCTGAGTTGTATAACATATAATCGGTTGATTTTGTACTTATCTCTCTAATAACTTCCAACACTAACCTTAGGGTGTTTGGCTGCTCCTGCTATCCATTTCTTAGACCTTATAATTCTCATAAGATGGATTATACAAGAATGTATGTTCCTTGGTTACTCCACAGCTCACAAGGGGTATAAGTGCCTTGCATCTAATGGACATATCTACATCTCCAAGGGTGTTTTGTTCCATGAATCCAAATTTCCTTACTCCTCTATGTTTTTCTATTAATTCTCAATCCACTCCAGCCTCATCTTCTTCCCCTGTGTCAGCTTGGTCTATGCCACCAGTTTTCACTACTTCTGTTCCAAGTCAGGATAACCGTCTCTCCTCCTCTTTTTCAGCCAACCCTCAACCATTTGTCCGATCTACTTCTGCTTTTGTCCCCACTCCCAGTCTCTTACCAACTTTTGCTTCTTCTGGCCTTAATGTTACTCCTAACACACTCAATTCATCTTCTACTTCCACTCTTGCTCTTATCCTATCTGATCTTGCAGAAGCCAGCACTTTCTCTCCCTCTTCATCCCAAACTCTCTCTTCTGCACCTAGCCCTGTCAATTCCACTTCATCTTACCCCTTTATTAATCCTTTAAATGTTCATCCTATGCAAACTAGATCTAAAAGAGGCATTACACTACCCAGACTTCATCTGACCCTGTTACTTACACATATGGAAACAACATCAGTAGACCAAGCTTTGACTGCTCCTAATTGGTTTCAGGCAATGCAGGAAGAGTATCAGGCTCTGCTGAGAAATCAGACCTAGACATTGGTAAAGTCATCTGGTTCTAGGAAGCCCACTGGCTGCAAATGTGTCTTCAGGTTATAACATAATCTTGATGGTTCCATAAACAAATACAAGGCCAGGCTGGTGGCCTAAGGGTTTCATCAAAAGGCTGGAAGTGATTTCACTGAAACATTATCACCTGTGGTTAAGCCTGTAATAGTCGGGATTGTGTTAACTCTTGCAGTCACCAACAACTGGACTATTCAGCAAATTGATGTCAATAATTCCTTTCTAAATGGCACTCTTGAGGAGGAAGTGTTTATGCAACAACCTCTTGGGTTTGAAGCATCTGATAAGTCTCTTGTGTATAGGTTGAACAAAGCCATCTATAGGTTAAAACAGTCTCCCAGGGTCTGGTTTGACAAACTTAAGAGTGCTCTTATTCAGCACGGGTTTCAAGCTAGCAGGTGTGATCCAGGCCTATTTTTGCTTAATCATGGCAGTCTACAGATCATGATCCTTGTCTATGTTGATGATATAATCATCATAAGAAATTATACCTCATTTTTAGAGTCTTTGATTAAGCATCTCAATGACAAATTCTCTCTAAAGCAGTTGGGCAAGATGGATTATTTCCTAGGCATTGAGGTCACCCATCTGTCTAATGGGTCCTTACTTCTTTCTCAAACAAAGTATACCACTGACTTACTGGCCAAGGTGAACATGCCGAATGCAAATAGCATGCCTACTCTTATGATTTCAAGCAGTAAGCTCTCCAAAATAGGTTATACTGCTGTAGGTGATCCTACACAATTCAGATCAGTTGTTGGTGCTTTGTAGTATGTAACATTAACTAGGCTTGAAATCTCATTTTCAGTTAACAAAGTTTGCTAGTTTTTGTCCAATCCCTTGGAGGAACATTGGAAGGCAGTTAAAAGAATTTTAAGATATTTAAGTGGCACTCCTCAACATGGCCTCCTTATTCAACCCACCTCTACTCAGCAGCCATTACAGTTGCTATGGTTTTGTGATGCTGACTGGGCATCAAACCCTGATGACAGAAGGTCCACTTCAGGAGTGTGTGTTTTTTCTAGGCCCTAATGTGGTTTCTTGGTGGTCTAAAAAGCAGCAGCTTGTAGCTCGACCCAGTGCATAAGAAAAGTATCGTAGCATGGCTCAGTTGGCTGCTGAACTAATCTGGATTCAATATTTACTCAAGGAACTACACTGTCCTTTCGAGGTGCCTAAGATTTTGTGTGATAATTTGAGTATAATTACTCTTGCTCATAATCCTGTTCTTCACAACAGGACCAAACATATGGAGCTATATATTTTCTTTGTGCGTGAGAAAGTCCTCAACAAGAGTCTTATTGTAGCACATGTTCCAGCTTAGGATCAATGGGCTGATGCCTTGACCAAACCTCAGTCTGCAGCTAAGTTTGTGCCTTTGTGTGACAAGATAGAGTGTTCAACAAGAGTGACTTGTCAAGCACCCTCTCAGCTTCTAAGGGGGAATGATAGATATAGTGTAAATAGAGATTAGTTTCAGTTGTTATAATTGATGAGCTGTACATGTTAATTATTCTGTATTAGTTTGTTACAGTTAGTTACAGCTCCTACTTTATATATAGAGAATTCATTGTATCATTTGAATCAAGAAATACAATGAGAGTTTCACAAACTATTCTCTCTCTCTGTATTATGATCTTCTATCATCAGTGATTGCAATTTGAACAAATCAGCATATGAAAAAGAGTTAATGGTCGTGGTGCTCGCTATCCAACATTGTCGCCCATATCTCATAGGGAACAAGTTCACGGTGTGCACAGATCAAAAGAGTTTAAAACAATTAATGCAGCAACGTCTAACCATAATGGATCAACAAAATTGGGTGGCTAAGCTTTTGGGATATCAATTTGATGTAGTTTATAAACCTGGTCTTGAGAACAATGGTGCTAATGCGTTGTCCCGTCAGTTTGATACTTCCCCAAACAACACCATGGTAGTCCTTGCTAATTCAGATGACAGGTTAACACTTCATCATTCTATGATTTTCCGTCTTGAATGGTTAGATTTCAAGGCTGTCCATGACGAGGTACAGCAGGATCCAACTTTACAGGCAATCATTTCGGCTTTACAAAAGAGGGAAACCACAAGACCTGGGTTTGCACTACAAAATGGGGTTCTTTTGTATTAGGACAGATTAGTTATGCCTGCTTCATTTACTTTTGTTCCTACAATTCTCAAGGAATTTCCCAGTACCCCTCAGAATGGGCATTCCGGGTTTTATCGCACTTATCGCCGTTTGGCTGCTAATTTGTATTGGATTGGTATGAAGAAGGATATCCAGAATTTTGTGCAGAAATCTACTGTCTGTCAATGCAACAAGTATGCAACTTCAATACCAGGTGGTCTTCTCCAGCCACTTCCAATACCTAATCAAGTGTGGGCAGATATTTCTATGGACTTCATTACTGGTCTTCCAAAGTCCAAGGGTTTCGAAGCTATTTTTGTGGTGGTAGACAGTAGGGGTGTGCATAATAACTGGTGACCATAAACCAAATTACTATCCAAATAAATCCAAATTTAAAAATCCAACCCAAAGTTATGTTTATAAATTGGTGGCCCATTTATTAAATTAAAAAATAACCGGTACCCATTGTTCCAAACTGGACCAAAGTATGGGTCACTGTTACTATACTTCCAAACATACGCAGTAAAACACATCTTCTTCAAAAATCTCAAACATCAGCAAAATTGTTTTTCAAATCCAACAAATTCGTCCTTCAAGAACGCCTCCACGAGCTTTCTTCTCAGAATCAGGTGAAATTCTACTTAGAATTTTTAGTTTTCACAAATTAAAAGCTTTTTAATTATGGGTTTATCTAATTAACTGCAAAATCGATGAAATTCAGGTTCAAGAGAAAGCTCAACCAACATCTTCCATCTTCCATTGATACTCAGGTAAACATATTATAAACTCCAAATCTGAGTTGTAGGATTCATTGATTATACGGATTTCTTGTATGCACGCATCTTGTTTGATAAAATGTCTATTTGGGTTTGTTTATATTGTCATATTAATATAGCTGGAGAACGACATGTATATTTTACAATTGATGACTTTGTGAGGAGGTCGCTGCTATAGACATGTCTGTGTTGGTGTTGTTGTTGTCGTCGTTGATTATACGCGACAAATTAAGAAAAGTATACAATCCCAGTGAATGATCCATATAAAAATTTCGCGTGAGAACCATTTTCGCCAATGATCTTTGTCTATCTTCCGTATAAAAATCAGCAAGATATGCAAAACACTGAGCCAAGCAAATGGTGCTGCTTAATATCCAAAACACAGCAAAAGTCCTACCAATAGGAGTTGAGAAGCTCTTATCTCCGTAACCTAAAGTCGTAACCGTCGAACAAACACAATAGAATGCATCGACGAAATCTAGTTTCTCAATAAAATACAGAAAAATAGTTCCTGTAATCATGAGTACAACAAAAGTGGATATTGAAAGAAGAAACTTGTATTTGCTTTTCTTAGTCACAAGTTCTTTAGAAACCTCTTCTAGACCGAGTTTCTCGGCTTTGCATATTGCTTTAACAAGATACACTTCCTGTTTTTCAATAATGTAATCTGCTGCTTTGCTAAGAATCAAGCCACCAAGAGCCATACCAGTGAAGACATAAAACCTGGTCTTGAGAACAATAGTGCTAATGCGTTGTCCCGTCAGTTTGATACTTCCCCAAACAACACCATGGTGGTCCTTGCTAATTCAGATGACAGGTTAACACTTCATCATTCTATGATTTTCCGTCTTGAATGGTTAGATTTCAAGGCTGTCCATGACGAGGTACAGCAGGATCCAACTTTACAGGCAATCATTTCGGCTTTACAAAAGAGGGAAACCACAAGACCTGGGTTTGCACTACAAAATGGGGTTCTTTTGTATTAGGACAAATTAGTTATGTCTGCTTCATTTACTTTTGTTCCTACAATTCTCAAGGAATTTCCCAGTACCCCTCAGAATGGGCATTCCGGGTTTTATCGCACTTATCGTCGTTTGGCTACTAATTTGTATTGGATTGGTATGAAGAAGGATATCCATAATTTTATGCAGAAATCTACTGTCTGTCAATGCAACAAGTATGCAACTTCAATACCAGGTGGTCTTCTCCAGCCACTTCCAATACCTAATCAAGTGTGGGTAGATATTTCTATGGACTTCATTACTGGTCTTCCAAAGTCCAAGGGTTTCGAAGCTATTTTTGTGGTGGTAGACAGGCTGTCTAAATATGCTCATTTCATCCTTCTTAAGCGACCCTATTCTGAAGATCTTTGGCTGAAACTTTCGCCAAAGAAGTGGTCCGACTTCATGGAATTCCGGAATCTATTGTGAGTGACAGAGATCCATCTTTGTTAGTAATTTCCGGCAGGAACTCTTTAAACATCAAGGTACACATTTGAAGCTCAGCACTGCATACCACTCTCAGACTGATGGTCAGACAAAAGTAGTTAACCGTTGTCTGAAGACTTTTCTTCGCTATTTTATTGCTGACCAGCCTAAGACGTGGGTCATGTGGCTTTCTTGGGCAGAATATTGGTACAATACTTTTCATGCTTCTATAGGTACAACTCCATTGGAAGTGGCGTATGGTCATTCCCCTCCGGTAATCACTAATTATTTACCGGGCGGAGTTAAGGCGGAGGCTGTTCAATGAGACTTGGCTGATCGTGATGAATGCTTGCGACAACTGAAGCATCACCTTTCACGTGCTTGTGACCGGATGAAGACACAAGCAGATAAACATTGCAAAGAACTCTCTTTAGAAGTTGGTGACTTGGTTTTCTTGAATCTTAGACCTCACGTGCAACAATCTGTTGCGGCTAGAATCTGTCCCAAGTTGTCTCCAAGGTATTTTGGTCCGTTTAAGGTGATTGAATGTGTTGGAACTGTTGCTTACAGGTTGGAGTTGCCTCCTACATCTCATATACATCCTATTTTCCATGTTTCCTTGCTTAAGAAAGCGGTTGGTGATGCTGTTGTTAATCCACACTTGAAAATCACCCACCTTATTCTAAGCTGCTTGGCAAACCTCCTAACTACTCTAACTAAAGAAACAAATAATCTGTATTTCTTTGATATTGTAGTAAGTAATACATGAAAGGTATTTATAGAATACAATGGACAAATCACTTTAAATGCTAATTATAAATTCTAATTCTAAATATAGCAGAAGATAACTAATTACTAATTATTAATATCTAATTACTAATTATTATTTACAATGAATATTATGCTGAGTTGTATAACATATAATCAGTTGATTTTGTACTTATCTCTCTAATAACTTCCAACACTAACCTTAGGGTGTTTGGCTGCTCCTGCTATCCATTTCTTAGACCTTATAATTCTCATAAGATGGATTATACAAGAATGTATATTCCTTGGTTACTCCACAACTCACAAGGGGTATAAGTGCCTTGCATCTAATGGACATATCTACATCTCCAAGGATGTTTTGTTCCATGAATCCAAATTTCCTTACTCCTCTATGTTTTTCTATTAATTCTCAATCCACTCCAGCCTCATCTTCTTCCCCTGTGTCAGCTTGGTCTATGCCACCAGTTTTCACTACTTCTGTTCCAAGTCAGGATAACCGTCTCTCCTCCTCTTTTTCAGCCAATCCTCAATCATTTGTCCGATCTACTTCTGCTTCTGTCCCCACTCTCAGTCTCTTACCAACTTTTGCTTCTTCTAGCCTTAATGTTACTCCTAACACACTCAATTCATCTTCTACTTCCACTCTTGCTCTTATCCTATCTGATCTTGCAGAAGCCAGCACTTTCTCTCCCTCTTCATCCAAAACTCTCTCTTCTGCACCTAGCCTTGTCAATTCCACTTCATCTTAACCCTTTATTAATCCTTTAAATGTTCATCCTATGCAAACTAGATCTAAAAGAGGCATTACACTACCCAGACTTCATCCGACCCTGTTACTTACACATATGGAAACAACATCAGTAGACCAAGCTTTGACTGCTCCTAACTGGTTTCAGGCAATGCAGGAAGAGTATCAGGCTCTGCTGAGAAATCAGACCTAAACATTGGTAAAGTCATCTGGTTCTAGGAAGCCCACTGGCTGCAAATGTGTCTTCAGGTTATAACAGAATCTTGATGGTTCCATAAACAAATACAAGGCCAGGCTGGTGGCCTAAGGGTTTCATCAAAAGGCTGTAAGTGATTTCACTGAAACATTCTCACCTGTGGTTAAGCCTGTAACAGTCGGGATTGTGTTAACTCTTGCAGTCACCAACAACTGGACTATTCAGCAAATTGATGTCAATAATGTCTTTCTAAATGGCACTCTTGAGGAGGAAGTGTTTATGCAACAACCTCTTGGGTTTAAAGCATCTGATAAGTCTCTTGTGTATAGGTTGAACAAAGCCATCTATGGGTTAAAACAGTCTCCCAGGGTCTGGTTTGACAAACTTAAGAGTGCTCTTATTCAACACGGGTTTCAAGCTAGCATGTGTGATCCAAGCCTATTTTTGCTTAATCATGGCAGTCTACAGATCATGATCCTTGTCTATGTTGATGATATAATCATCATAAGCAATTATACCTCATTTTTAGAGTCTTTGATTAAGCATCTCAATGACAAATTCTCTCTAAAGCAGTTGGGCAAGCTGGATTATTTCCTAGGCATTAAGGTCACCCATCTGTCTAATGGGTCCTTACTTCTTTCTCAAACAAAGTATATCACTGACTTACTGGCCAAGGTGAACATGCCGAATGCAAATAGCATGCCTACTCCTATGATTTCAAGCAGTAAGCTCTCCAAAATAGGTTCTACTGCTGTAGGTGATCCTACACAATTCAGATCAGTTGTTGGTGCTTTGTAGTATGTAACATTAACTAGGCTTGAAATCTCATTTTCAGTTAACAAAGTTTGCTAGTTTTTGTCCAATCCCTTGGAGGAACATTGGAAGACAGTTAAAAGAATTTTAAGATATTTAAGTGGCACTCCTCAGCATGGCCTCCTCATTCAACCCACCTCTACTCAGCAGCCATTACAGTTGCTAGGGTTTTGTGATGCTGACTGGGCATCAGACCCTGATGACAGAAGGTCCACTTCAGGAGCGTGTGTTTTTTCTAGGCCCTAATGTGGTTTCTTGGTGGTCTAAAAAGCAGCAGCTTGTAGCTCGACCCAGTGCAGAAGCAAAGTATCGTAGCATGGCTCAGTTGGCTGTTGAACTAATCTGCCAGTGGCGGAGCCAGAAATATTATAAAGCCTGGGCGAAAAATTAAAGATCGCAAATTCACATTGTATATAATATATAAATACTCATAAATCAAAATAACAGAGACTCGCCATTTTGTCCACAAAAATATAGTTTAAAATAAAAGAGACAAATATAACCTTACAATAGCGGGTTAAAAATAAAATTACGAGGCAAATGTCCTTTCCGAGACTTTTTTGCGGTGAATGTTCGAATAATATCAATATCATTAAGTGATTTGAATATCTCCCGCTCAGTGTAACATACCATCAAGTCATTGAACCACACATCATTGATCTTATTGCGCAATTTAGACTTGATAATCTTCATTGCTGAAAAAGCTCTTTCAACGGATGCTGTCGACACCGGCAATATCAAAGCTAACTCAATAAGTTTATAAACCAATGGAAATACTAAATGTTTCTCAGTTTGAACCATCTTCATAGCCAAACTTTGAACATCTTCACAAGTGGAAAATGAAGCATTTCTTCTCACTTGAAGAACATAAGTCTCAATTTGATCCCTTATTGTTCCTCGGTCATCATTAGAAAAGTCTACACGATAAATATCCGCAAGACGAGCAAGCTTATCAACATTAAACTTGGAGAAAGAGTTTTTGGGATCAAGACATGAAAAACAATTAAGGATAATGTTACTTTCTTCACTAAAGCGATGATCCATCTCCACACATATTTTGTCAATAGCAACATAAAAAATCTCTGCACGGTAATGATAAAGATTAGTGACAGTCCCCCCTTCTACCCTTGAACGACCCCGAACCGGTATTTCATCATCCATATTTGGAACTGGAATACCTTTAGCAACACAAAAATCTTGGACATCAGAAAATAAATTATCCCAACCACTCTCTCTCGTTGTGGCCAATCGAGCTTTGACATCATCAACTAATTCCATGGCAATCACAATATTAAGATCTTTTCTTTGCAAGACATTTGAAAGCTCGTTTGTGATACCAAACAACTTTAACATTAATTTCAAAATGAAAGCAAATTTAAAGCTCTCCATTTTTTCTATCAAACCCACTGCTTGAGATGATCCACGTCCATCTTCATCAACCATACTAAGCACCTTTAACACAGAGGGACACATTTGATCCAAACGAAGCAATGTAGTATGATGTGAACCCCATCTAGTATCCCCAGGTCTTGTGAGATTAGATGATTGGTGCAAGCCCTTTCCTCTAGATATCTCACCACTCTCAAGTTTATTTAAAATATCTTGGTGTTGTGCCTCTATCAAAGCATCCCTCCAGTTGCGTGGGTTTTGGTATTTTTAATATTGGATGATAAACCGGAAGATGATGTATCGACCAATTCAATTATTTAAAGGTGAACATTCTATTACTTGCGAAAATGTCGAATCAATTTGATTAAAAAAAATTGATTATGTACAAGTGCGATGAACTACATGATTTAATCTAAAAAGTTGACCGAATTAATATAAGTTATATTACTAAATTAATCATTCCTATAAAAAAATAATATTAAGAAAATTAATTAACCTAATAAAAACTACCTAACCTAATAAAAAAATAGAATAAATGGAATAGGAGTGTAGAATTGGAGATGGGGGTGTGAATCAGTAAAAAGATAGAAATTATGGCCCAAGAGCCCAAGTTTAGTTAAACCTAAGTCTAATCAATAATTGTTA